TTCCACGTGAAGGCATTGCCTGCACCACCCAGGGACTCCAGATGATATTTAGCTGAATCTATATGGCTTCTTTTTATATGGAATTGGTATTGGCATATACCATGGCACACTTTCTTTTGCCTTTGACACCCTAACCTAGGCACTAGGCAGTCTGTGCACGTAGAAGGTACTTGTCTAAAGGGACACGTGGGAGTTGAAGTCTAGCTCTAGGAATTTACCAGGTCATACGTATGGCTTGGCAAGGGGTTATGTCTACCCAGATTGGCATACTTGTTTCAAAATAACCTTCTCTGAGAGAGTGTCCTCTTTTTAATTTGTATAAAGGCGCCCTATATACTAACAGTGGGCATGTTATAGTGACCCATACTCTTTGTACTTTTCTTCAACCAAACTTTTGAGCTCAATACTCATATAATGTGTTAAGAAATGATTTGGTTTCCACTTGGTGCATCATTAACTATTGTTTTTTCTTGTTTTTTTTTCATCAACCCAAGATGATAACAATGTATTTGGTGCCCTAGCAATGACAAACACAACAGCAATTCTAGCTTTGGGATTCCGTGGCTGGATTTCATTTTCAGGTGGTCATCCAGAGGATTCAGGATGTTTACCTTAAAAAAGGGTTTTTTTTCAGTCATGGAAACAAGAAGCACAACATTAAAGAATTAGCCTAAGAATTCATGGTATAACTGTTAGCCTTCATTTGAGAAACAGATTTTTCAGGACAGACTTGATGTGGGAAGTTAAAGAAAAGCAAGCTTGCGATGATGATCCACAGGTGTCTCACGGTCAAGTAGTGCACGATGGTCCCATTTGCCAAAAGGACTAAAAAAAGGGAGGGGAAATAATGAGTTCTGTGTGTACAATCACTTTTGGTAGACTGTATTGGAGATAAGAATTTGGTAGTATTTGAATTTTTGTTGAACCCAAGAGAATAAATGTGCTCATTTAGGAACAGTGTGCATATTAAGAGAAGCTGTGGAAGAAACAATAGTCGTACACTTGGCCAGTTGAGAGGAAAGGAAACCAATTGAAGAGGAATGAATGATCACCAGAGTTAGATGATCCGGGACAAGTAGGGCAAGGTTTATTTGAATAGTTCATTGTAATTGGTTATGAAAAAGTGCGGACACAATCAGAACAACTTCAGTGGTGTCTTGAGGCACATTCTGATCAGTAAGTGAAGGGACCTCAGGAACCGCAGCTAGTCACAGGAGACTTTTACTCTGGGGAGCTGGCGGTACAGAGACTTTGGCTCAGGCTGCTATCTGTAAGGTCGGCAGTTCTGGAACCACTCGCCTCTGCTCTGCTGGAGAACGGCTTTGTACTCCCCAACCCCCCACAGAAACAGTTCTCTCCTTAGCCTAGGAAATCCACAGAAATACTTTTATCCTGTCCTATAGGGTCACTATGCGTCAGAATCAACTGGAGGGCAGTGAGCTTTGATTTTTGTTTTTGCTTCGTTCGAATATGTCACTAGAGCGAACAGGCATATGGGGAGTCAAGGTAGGAGACCGTACCGGTGGAACTCCCAGGGACACTGTGGAAAGGAGGATCAGAAAAGTCTACAAGCAGTTTTAAAAG